GGTTTTAAAAATCGAATACCATTTATTTATTTAAAAAAAAGATTCTCGGTCTTGTCACAAGGTTTTGTCAAACTTGTTTAGTCGCTGAGAAAATGGAATTGACTCGAGAAAATTCAAGAGCGATGATTTATTATGACTTTCAAAGTGGTTTAACACAAAAACAGTTTGTTGACCGGATGATTTCTGCATTTGGTGATGAAGCCCTATCCAAAACCACAATTTATCGTTGGTTTGCTAAATTTCAACGTGGTCAAGGTCGTCCAAAAACTGCAGTCACCCAAGAAAACGTTGATGCTGTGAGTAAGTCGATTAAGGAAGATCGACATGTGACATACCGCGAAATTCAGGCAACTTTAGACATTGGCATGAGTCTAATACAAATAATCTTGCATGAACAATTAGGTGAAAAGGTTGTTTTTCCGATGGATACCGCATTCGCTCTGTGAAGAGCAAAAAGCGGCTCGCGTTACTTGGTGCGTCAGAACTCTCGAAAGATTCCACGCAGGATCATCAAATGCTGTATACAACATCGTATCAGGTGATGAATCCTGGATATACGCGTACGAATCCGAAACAAAAAACCAGTCACGAGTTTGGGTGTTCGAAAATGAGTTAAAGCCAACAAAAATTGTTAGTTCACGGAGTGTTGCAAAAAAAAAATGGTGGCCACGTTTGTCTCCAAAACCGGCCATGTTACGACTATTTCTCTTGAGGGACAAAGAACGGTTAATGCAGAATGGTATGCTAGCATTTGTTTGCCACAGGTCGTTTCTGAACTGTAAAGAAAACTGCCAACCGCCGCATCATCCTCCATCACGATAATGCGAGTTCTCACACCGCACACAGAACAAAAAAGTTTTTAGAGCAAGAAAACATAGAATTATTAGACCATCCGCCGTACGGCAACGACCTAAGCCCTAATGATTTCTATAATTTCCCTAAAATAAAGAATAAATTGCGTGGACAGAGATTTTCATCACCTGAAGAAGCTATGGACGCCTACAAAACGGCCACTTTGGGGACTCCAAATTCCGAATGGAATGGTTGCTTCAATGATTGGTTCCATCTTATGGAAAAATGTGTCAAATTTCGCGGAGAATACTTCGAAAAGCAATAAATACATTTTTAAATAGTAATGTTGTGTCACTTCCTTGATTCCCGAAATTTTCAGTGCCGCCTATCACACACGAACATTCGCGCAAGCGCACTGCGCCGCCTAAACGAAACAGCAGGTGCAGTGCAGGCACACATTTTCCTCTCCTACGCCGCGCCGGCTATCTCTCTCTCTCTCTCTCTCTCTCTCTCTCTCTCTCTCTCTCTCTATCCGACTTACGAACTTTCGAAAAGAATTAGTTTTATAAAACTAAAGTGCAAACCAACTTACAGTCAAACCCCATTCTTCCCATCAGGAAGGAGCTACTGCAGTCTAAGTTTACCTGCTGCCAACTTTAAACAAGTAAGGTAACCTCCGAGGACTAAGATGGAATGACTTACAATCCATAATTTACACTTACACTGTTTACCTTCAGACCAAAACACATCAGTACAAGCACGGCTACGCTATGCTGTAAAGATGTATTTTTTAAATAAGTTGTATATTCTTTAAACTGTAGTTTTAGATATTGAAGATCTGGTACCGTTATTTTATCGATATTTTTGATTTAACTTTAAATTCTTTGTATATCCATTTCAGGTAATTAAATTAATTTACTTTCTTTTTTGACAACTGAATAAGATCATGACGGAGAAACATCTTCTAAATTTTAAAAGCCGCCTTTAAATTACAGTATATGTGTTGGAATACGCTTATGTGTTTTATGGACCCTGGGAACAACTCTTCTAACTAGAAACTGTTTCTTTTTTGTTACACAGTCCAATATATTATCATCATTACTGCTGAGCATAAGTCTCTCCCAAAGAATGTCACCAAGCTTGGTCCTGAGCCACTTACATCCATCGACATCTTGCATCAACATCATTCAGGTTTCTGCTTTAAAACACGAAAAGTTAAGTAAAGTTTGATTTTGGATTTTGATACATATTATTAAGATTTTCTTCAAGTATTTATCAAGCATCGGTTACTAGCTCATCTTCTTCTCTTATATATAAAAGTCAATGGATGTCCGTTACTCTCACTAAAATTCAAAAACGGTATAGGTACTGATTTTGATAATTATAATTATGTGTTTTTGAATGGCTTCTTAGATGGTTTAGCTTCACATTTGGACCCGGTGGGTGGCACTGTCCCAAGCGTGAAGTAATACGCAACAAAACCTCATCCGCTGCACTTAACCGACACACTGGGAAGCGAACTCCTGAGACCCGGTGTGTCACTGTTCAGAAGTGCACACACTTGTTGGTATGACATACTCGGCTTTACGTTGAGATCTGTCTCCGCAAGGCTTGAGGTCACCGACCTTTCGGCAGATCCCCTCCCAGGGGGCCAAGATGGCCTTAACCTACACACCAGGAAGGAGCTCCTAGGGCTCGGTGTGCCACAGTTTGAGTGAGCATATTTGTCGATAAGACATACTCGACCCTACGTCGAGATCCGTATCCGTAAGGTTTGAGGTCACCAACCCTTAGGTAGATTCTTCCCAGGGGCGCGAAATGCGCCAAAAACGCCAAGATGGCCAACAACGCCGTTCCTGTAACGGCTCCCAAAACTAGCCCACTGTATTAGACTGTGAGGAAGCCCGGGTAAAGGGGATTTCCCCGATGCCCGAGACCTGCTGGGCAGAAAACCTACACAGGAGTCGAAATTCAGAAATCACCCGTGCGAAGCCTAAGCGGATCACTAGTCTGTAATAAGTTTCGTCGCGGTATTAATAACTTTCTATCAAATTATAGCATTTTCGTAAATTATCACTACCTACTACTATACTGTAAAGCATTTGTAATTCAAGGCAAGAACATATGCCTCCCCGAGATATAACCTCACAGGGGGATATTTGCTACAGTAGTTGCTGGCATACGGGTGGGCAACCGTGTTTTTTATTATTTTGATATGTTATCAAGAAGATGCTGCTATCAATCCACTGTTTCCTTCCCGTCTATCACCTCTGACAACACCCACTGGAAGATATGGGATAGTGAGAGCCATCTTACTACACGTTCCGTTACTACACGGTACACATTTATATTTAAAAAAACGAAAAGATCTGATTTAAATGTAAAAACACACGTTCGAAATCAACTATAAGGAACATTAGAGTAAACATATTGAAAATATAAATCACAATTATTGCTTGTATTTTGTTAATTTCCGTTTAATGGTTTTAACGAAGCACGTCTAAATTGAATCGATTTTCGGCATCTTCTTATCTCCAAAACGCCAACGATTCAATCTCGAGGTGTTCCCACATTAACGTGTAGATGCTGCGATTATGGTGTTTATCACGCGTAGCTCGGAAGCTGCCCGCGAGCGATGCACTCATCTCCAATTTAAAACCTTTATCCGTAGTCCTCAGCGTATCACGATTCTTTTGTTAATTCTTTCAAGGTATGAGATTATAAAAGCAGTGTTAAATGTTTGCTTTCATAATTTAATTCATTATTACAAGCATAATTAATTCGATGGCTCGAAGCCACAGTGGCTAAGTGTGCGGCTGCAATGCCGTGGGGCTGTGGGTTCTAATCCCGACGGAACAATTTGTATTTGCGTAGCCTACAAAGTTATGGTTCCGGGTATAGTTCTTTGTCCATAAGCAATTTATATATATATAATGCGCAAGCATTAGGATAACGGAGTAAATTCTAGTGCCTGAAGAAATGTAATTTTTAATAATAGAATAGAATAGAATATTTTATAATTCCAACTCAATATCACCTTTTAACCTTTTAATTTTCAAGGCAAATTATATTTTAAAAATATTAAAGTATTACGGAAAAAATAGGAAAGTTTTTTTAGTATTTATTTCTGAATTAAAAAAATATAACTTATCTGTAACCTATTAAACATTATTCTAATTCAATGTTCATCAAATTATAATATAATTAAACTAAATACCCTCTGAAAGATAATTTGTATATAAACAAAAATTAAAATTACAAAAGCTCTAGTACAAAGCTCATAAAATTAACTGAAAATTTCTCTTAAATATACTTTCATTCCACCGTAATTAACGTCGTCGTATCTAGATGTGCGTGCGCACGGCTCCGCAAATTGGCGCAACGCACAAGTATGTTGTTATCAATGACTGTCATTTCATCCAATCATCATCGTATCGTCTCGTTTGCCCTGAACTGGAGCAATTACCGCACAGCCACTGTCTCTTTCAGGCCTATTAATTTAACACTACGTACGCAAGCAACTACTCGTTCTATTTCATTCGCGCTAAAACCCATGAAGCTATACGGTACGGTACGAAGCAATATATATCCATCTCTTTTCTATACCCTTATGGTAGCATGTAATAAAGTTGTACTTCATTTCACTTTTTTCTTTTTCAGTGTATCTTCTTTTAAATGACAAGTCAAAAGTGTTTAAAACAGTTTTAATATTGGAAGTGTCCCCCACGCGGTGGGACTCGTTAAGCTGCGGGTGCATGTTGTTTCGATAAAAAAAGAATAAGGCGGGAAAGAGAGGCTTCTCGGAGGCTTTTATAGTTGCTGTCCCGATGCGCTCGCGCGCGGTGGTATTCGAGCTTCGGGATAGTTTCTTGATCTTATTATTCTAATAAAAAGTTCACGCATTAATTGAGGTGTTATATTTTTTTAAGTCGCCGAACTGTGTTAACGGGATGTGAGCTTTTATGATTTTTAAATTATGTCAGACACGTGCCGTTTATGCCTTTTTGATTTTAAAATTATAATATTGTATTGTTATGTGCGCGGGGTTGTTTGTCTTATTGACTAATAATCATTGACACTTCATCGCTTCGTGTGTGTAGTCGTGTTTAATTGATTTTTATTTAATTAAAAAATGGACTCTAATTGTGTTCAAGTGTAAATATATTATAAATTTCACAAATAACAAGGGACATTTCTAGATTTACAAAATGTTTTTGAGGTGAGTTTTCATTCTTTGGAAAATTTATAGATTTTTGGTGTTTTTTTTTAATTTACATTTTTTAAATTTATTTGTGACAAGTTATGAAGCGAAAAACAAATTTAATATAATCCCTTGTTCAGAGTTCAAAATGTAGACCTGCAGTGATTGAAATTAACGATACGGTTAAATCTCAATAATACAAAATTTATGGTCAGTTATCTAAGTTTCTCTTTATTTATTCGACACCGACGGATAAAGATTAAAATTTATACAAGAGTTTTACAATAATTTAACTTTAAAATTGATATGCATTTCAAATGATACACTGAAACTAAAAAGAAAATTTTCTTCTCAAAAGTAAGAGTATTGGAGAATGTAAAAAATAAACGTATAATCAATAAAATTAAATCTGAACCCCAGCATACTTCTGCAATAATACAAGATCCAGTCAGTTCTTTGTGCGTAGACCGGACCAAAACAATAATTTAAATATGAGAAAAGTCCTGATTAACTATAATATTGGGTCGTCAAACAATTTCAATCCATGTTGGACATAGATGCTGCAAAGCAATTTAAAAAATAATTAAATTTGATAAAATCCTTGAAATTCGTTTCATTTCATACTCACGAAATGCAGGTTTAACATAAATTACGATTTATATAAAGCTGTTTCTGAACAGGGTTTAACAGTCGTTAACTACCAATTAGTTTTTGTTAATATATTTGCAATTTAATATATAATAGTTTCGTCTTTAGTTTCTACTTGTATTTGAGCTATATTTGCATGGCTATTTCAAATAATATTTTATTTAAAAAAAATATTTTTACCAATCTTCAAACAAAACGACATATTAAATTCACGTTCACAATTAAAACTTATTTTATATGAACGTTACGTTATGTTTTTTACTATACTAGTTGCTAAACAAATGTTTAAAAAATTCTCTAGTATTTGTTTAAGTGTAATGTAATTTTAAATTATTAAGTACGTTTAAAAATATGAGAATAAAATAATTTTAACTATACGGCTGAAAGCAAATTCCTGCATCAGTGAATATCTAATATAATAAGTAATATAACTTATCTTGGGACAACTTTTCTGTCACAAAAACTTGTTCTAACTTGTGAGATTCCCAGGCAGAAAAGAAACCCTCATAAGGGTTTATTTAAATGTAACTTATCTCAGGGACAACTTTTCTGTCACACCAACTTGTTCTATCTTAAATATAAGATTTTAAGCGGCAGTAGTCTAACGTTTAAAGAAGTAGACTGCATACTCAGAACATCGTGGGTTTGAATCCTCTGGCTAATGTGGTGAACAATTCCAAACACAAGAATTTTAAGCTTACTTGTACTGGTTTACGGGCTGTGTTAATAATTATTATAATGTCCTCCAAACCGAACTATGTTCACAGCGACCAGTCTTAATGGAGTCTAGCCCTCTGCGCAGGACAGAATTAAAATTCCCGAGTGTATGCGTGAATACAGGTGAACTATCTATTCCTTCACTCTCTTATAATCGAACGGTAATCCGACACGACCGGAGATAGTTCAGGCTCAAGACGGCGATGCAACGACTTTACGTGCTTTTCGCGACGTGGGCATGAAACACCGCCAACTCTCTAATTCCAATCTGCTAATAAGAATTTCTTGACAGAAAAACCCAATAACTGAATATGGCCCAACTCGAGATTTGAACCCGGGACCTCGTGATCGGTAATTATATTAACGACCACTAGATCGACTAGGCAGTCAGTATGTTAATGTAGGGTTACTAGCTAGTCTTTATAAAAACGCTTTTCAGCAACGACATTTGTATGTACATTATACACCGTGTTATGATATTTTTATGGGACTATCGTAAAATCCGTTCTTAGTGAACGTCTACATTGCAAAATGAGGAACTATACTAAATTTCAAGTCAATCGAGTGTATAGTTTTAGAGATATCGTTATGAATCTGTCAGTCAGTCAGTGATATGTCTCTAGAAGTACATATTTCCCCGGAAAATAAGATATTGTTATTATTTTAAGATGTGACCAAAATATTGCAGATGAGGATTTATACAAAAAAAATAACCGGTTTTTCGGCTTATGTTGATATTAATTTAGTCTATAGGTACTAAATTGGACGTAGACAGAGAAACCTATAGACTAATGATCGGCGTGGCCTCGAGTGAGAAAGGACGATAACGAATTTTTAGGTTACATAATATATATTTATATATATATACACATTTAGATAAACATTTTAATTGTTCTAAGAACTGAACTGAACAAGATTCATTAATCTTAAGCTCACAAAATACTTTTTTCTTACTTAAACCAACTTGTAAACTCCTTAAATCGCTACGCTGTCAAAGTTGTTTAGCAAACTGTAGAGTTTGCTAAACAAAAAAACCGGCACGGAGAAAGGGACAAACAATCACACTACTCTATCTCATTTCTATGCAAGACGTATGCATAAATCTATCTTTTTCGTGTGCGAATGCGAAAGAAGGCGTCAATTTGTCTATAGGTTTCTCTGTCTACGAAATTGGAACATACATCTATCGCTTGACAGTTAACAGCTTAGAAATAACTGACAGCATAGATTACTAATATATAACAGGCTGACAGGCTTGTAAACCTTTATAATATATAACAGGCTGACACTCTTGTAAACCTTTATAATATATAACAGGCTGACAGGCTTGTAAACCTTTATAATATATAACAGGCTGACAGGCTTGTAAACCTTTATAATATATAACAGGCTGACAGGCTTGTAAACCTTTATAATATATAACAGGCTGACAGGCTTATAAACCTTTATAATATATAACAGGCTGACAGGCTTGTAAACCTTTATATATATAACAGGCTGACAGGCTTGTAAACCTTTATAATATATAACAGGCTGACAAGCTTATAAACCTTTATAATATATAACAGGCTGACAGGCTTGTAAACCTTTATAATATATAACAGGCTGACAGGCTTGTAAACCTTTATAATCCATTTCAATTCTAAATTCATTACGTTCATAAAATATGTATGAGCATTGATTTCAGTCCATGTTACAGTTTCCAAAAATATACCAAATGATATTACGAAATAAAGACATTAATTCGATTGTGAAAACAAAGTTTACAAACAGACAAGTTAAAATAGAGTTTCATTGTTACCTAAGTGCTAAATGTACGCGACGCTAAGAGCCTGATAAGTAAAGCAACGCAGTATAGGCACATTATTACTCGGACCATATACGGTAATATACTCTGAATTGATCTATTAAAAGGAATCAAAGCTGCTTGCTCTTTAAGAAACTCCGTTGTATATTTTGTTGCGGAACATCATGAAACTATTATATAACACTGAAATAGCCTCCAACGAAAACAGAATATGTACATTTTACAATCCGCTACGTAGTTCGAATAAATAGTAAAATTTAAAAAAATTAACACTTTATACTTGAAGTTAGAGGTTTTGTATGCTGCATACTTTAATAGTACTTCGACTTCATATGTTTGTTAATATTACACAAAAATAGTACTGTAAATACTCATCCATTTCTTGACGATTATTATAACGTTTAGCGCTGTATAATGGCTGTGCAAGAGAATTCGCTACCCTATAGGGTATATATCATCCCGTGCGTCTCATGAGAGGTGACTGGGGAAAACTGGAACAGGAGATGAGCAGCAACATCTTCTCCATATAGGAACGCCATAATAATAAAAAAGGATGAGGAGAACACATGTCCAGCACTGGAATTTTACTTTTTTTCTATTTTGAGTTAAGTTTTATGTTCTGGCGATGCCAGTAGTGGACATCTCGCACATTTGACGATCTTTTCATAAGAGGACATTACAATAGCATAATTAATAGAATCAGGCGTTACTTTGCGGAAATCCATTATACTAAAGACATTAATAGTTACTTTGCGACCATCCGCTCAATAAAATAAAATGATGTGTCTTACCTAGATTGAAGAGCACCTCCCGCCCTCCCTCAATTGCATGCACTTATCCCGTCACCACTTATCCCAGCACTACTGTGCTGTGTACTAATTAGCGGTCACCCACCGTAGAATCTAAGGTTAACATCACCTGAAGATGCCTCGTGTCATCACCGAAGAGGCGAAATACGTGTCGTATTATCGTCGATGGTGTGTCTTTCCTAGATCAGTGGTGCTGGGATTAGTGGTGACGGGATTAGTGCACGCAATTGAGGGAGGGCGAGAGAAGCTCTTCAAACTAGATAAGACACGTCATTTTATTTTATTGAGCAGATGGTTGCAAAGTAACTATTAATATCTTTATTACAATAGCTTCCACGCTCCGCAAGCAAGATGCTGCTTCCTATCTCTTGTTTCGTTTCCCTAAGTCGCCTCTTACGACACCCACAGGACTAAGTTCTAAAATTCTTGAGTGTTATTCTTTTAAATTATGCAAAGAATAGTTTACTTTAAAAACAAATGTATAAAATACGTTTTTATTGTTCTGCTTACTTGACTATAATATAAATAATACTAATATTCTGTGACTCAATTTATTACCGCAAGCGATTCGATTTCATACTCACCTGGAACTTGGTAGTTGTCTAAATGTAAATGTTTGAAAAACGTCCCCACACAGCAAAGTAAAAATTCCCACTATTAAAATATCATCTTACTAAAGATCAGAATATAAAAACTAAGAAATGATTACAATAAGGAAACCTACCACAGCTGTTGTTGTTACTGTTTTTGGTTTGTTGGGTAACGATATCCGGAGACCAATCGCTAATAATGAGGGATAATTAATAATTATAATTATTAATTACATCTTGATTCTTCCTCATTGATCGGTCTGGGTAGTGTAGCTTTTACTAATTATACTCCCTCTCTTATTTATTGGTGTGTTTCCGATATGACAGGCATCGAGAGCCAATATTATCAAAGATGGTAAGGCATTCTATCTTACATCTCGGAAATAATATTGTACTAATAAATTGTTTTGATAAAAATTGATGCATAGTCATAGCATGCTAACAAGT